GATTATTTTCCTAATCTGTTTCCTGCTTTTGAAGATACATGTTGTAATTCATGTAGTAGTACAGGATTAGTTTTGGAATTTTTATATGTAGATTTTGTACATATAGCAATCCATGTACTAGTGGGACCTTTTGTTGTAATCCATGTTTCTATGTAATGAAATATGTGTTTTATGCAAATGTGGAGTATGGGGTGTTACAAAAATATAGCATATGGGCATGATGATAAAACAACCGACCTTTAAGAAGCTTAAGAATAGCCAAGCTACTAGCATTCATTGTCTGCTGCAGCATTGGTCCCGTAACAAGAGTTGGGCACACGGACAGAAGATCAATACCGTTTCTTTTTGAGAATTCCCATGCCTCACTTTCTGCTTGTGTTTTAGAAAGACAATACCAATCCTGCATAACACAGTTGAATGAGACATGAAAATCATGGAGAGATCGACTTCTAAACCATTATACTTGGCTTTTTGTTGCGAACCATCCACCGTTATTGTGAAAAGGGTTGGTTCAAATGAGAACTGTAAATCTTTTGACTTTTGAGAACTGGGGAACCAACTATTTTCATGTATTTTTCATGAGGAATAACCACAATATTATCACGAGTATTATTCATCATGAATATCATGGATTTTCATTATTCATGATATCGTACCATTTTATCATGAATATGATGTATTTTCATTATGAATAAATTTCTTCATAAATATCTACTGCCACATTGAACGTTTATAATTTTCATCATTCAGGATTATTCATCATGAATAAATAAACGGAATAGTTGGTTCCCGGTTCTCAAAATATTTACGGTTCTCATTTGAACCCACACTTATTGTGAAAATGGGAAGAAAAACATAATAGTTTGCAAGCACCAGCAATTTTGGACATATTTGGAAAGTAAATGTGAACAAACTGTTGCACGTGGCACTTTTTGTCCAAAATCTCTCCTTGCAAAATTTAGTACATTCTAACATATTCAAGAGAACATAATGTTCGCAAAAAGTCACATTATAAGGCTACATTTAAGAATATTTCAGCTGATTACATTATTGGATCTGCATAAATCTTTGTCAGACCAAAAAGTCTCATCCAACGGTCGATCCTTGGGTCTATTAGGTATGACCGCAATAGCAGCTACAGAAGACACATACAAGACTTTCTTGACATTTACTTCACAACATGCCTTAAGTACGTTGAGAGTACCTTTAACAGCAGGCTCAATCAGTTCTACCTGCAGTGTGAGTAATTATATAGCTTCCAAACGTGATTAGCCAAATTGTAAAAGTACAATCATATGACAACCAATCTTGCCTCGGGGTTTGGTACAGAACTTGGTGGAACTGGACTTGCAGTATGGAACACACCATCGCATCCTGCAATGGCTGCCCTAATAGACTCGTAGTCGAGAAGGTCTGCCTTGAAGAGCTTCAGGTTCTCGGATGCTTTCTCTAGGCTCTTCAAATGAGCGTTTTTCTCATCCACTGAAGGAAATGGGTTAGAATAACTTAAAAGCCAAAAAGCTAAATCCTTCTTACAGTTTTTTAATCAGTCTTTGATCCTAATTGTTTATATCATAGAATGCCTATTGCTTGGTGGTCCTTATTTCGGACCATCCTGAAGCCTTAAAAGCATTCTCACAGGCCAAAGTAAGATTGATATTTTATCATTGCCATATTCAGATAAAGCAGATTGATGAAGAACAAGAACTATACAGATGCATTTTTCAAGGTGTTCCCTTTTACTTGTCCTGCGCACTTCATCAATATTTTTGTTTTGATATAAGGTTTTAGGTTCTAAATAATCACACTTAAGTCAGTCGTTCAAAAGAATTTGTTACGGATATTTGAAATTCACATTCTTATATGCTGCTAATCGTTTGTATCAATATCTCCATGGCCAGAGCATAGCTATGAACCGAGAAACTAACAAAATAATGGGTTGCTTCATATGCTGGATCTTCCAATAAAATAGAAAATGAAGAGATACGTTAAACATCTAAAAAGAACGGTATTTAGTCATACGCATGAAAGAAATGCCTACAACTCTAAAGACAACATGAAGAATAATACATTCTGAAGCAGCAACATCAAAATGATCAATTCCACCTTAGAAACGGAAAACAATTAGAATGGAAGATTAGTGAAAACCTTATGAGGCCATAAAATATTGATACCAAAACAAAAAGATACGAAGGCATATATACAACCAAATAAATAACAAGCCTTTTATCACAATATAATTGATGGAAAGTGAAACCAATAAAAGACATAAGGGCAACAATCCATTGTATGGCTCATGAACTAGAATAGCATCCATCGAGACTATATCATTGATCCTGATAAAAATTGAAATTTGAAGACGGAATAACTTAGTATCAAGGGGAAAGCCTTGGAGCAATTGGTAATCATTCTCCTCGTGACTCCTTCAAGTTACTAAAACAAAAAAGGGTTCTTTGCAAAGCAAAGGAAAAGTTGCATACAGTTACTTCCCAACTTTTGAAAAGTAGAGGAGTCTTGGCACCAAGGTAGCTCTTCTTTTTTATACACCAGTTTAGTTCCAAACAAAAAACCTATTGCACATACAACAGTTTGGAAGCACATTTTAAGGGATCCGGATTGTTGGAAGTAGACTTATGCACAAATTCAATTTATTAGATGATGATCCCCCTTTGGTTTGAAATACATAGACAGACATGACTACTTAAAAGTGAAAATCGAGAAGCACTTTGCAGCTATTATATCTTCGAAGAAATTTGTACTCCTACATCCTAAAACAATTTAACAAAACCCTCTTTAATGATATCTTGTTATAAATGCAACATTTAGTTTTTAGCCAAGTTTTAATCCAAAATCACCATTTGTGCCCACTAGCAATCCTACAAAAAGCGAATTAACTTCATTTGTTTATTATTATTCAGAGGTAGTTCGAACAATATGTGTTTGATCAAACATTTCATTTATTTCAGAATGGTTGAGCGGTACATATCAATAGAATTTGAACATGAGTGCCCTAGACATCAAGAATCAGAGTACCCTTCTCATAAACAAAGGGAATATGTATAATCTTACCAAAATTGGGCATTCATTTTCACCTAAAGGGCTACAAAATCCCAAACTAGAAACAAAAATCAATAGTTCTTCAGTTTAAGCAAAAGGGTTAGATTTGTGTGCTACAAATTGATACGGATTGTCAACTTTCTGAAAAAAGAAAAAAAACAACAAACAAGTGCCACCAAACCCCATGATCAAGTGGCCGGAGTTCCATCAAGATAAAGTAAAATTTTGAGTTTGATTTCTACAACAATGGATACTGATTACTCTCTTTTGGTATTTAAAAGTGCAGGTAACTCGATATCAAATGATTTAGGGAACACGTATTTAAAACATAATCACAATTTCCCAATAAAACATGCAATTCAAAGAAATCGAGCAATTAAACCGTGAAAACAATACGTAAACCCGCAACGTAAAATCGCCCAACAATTTGTATAATCGTACAAAGAATAACAAAAAATGATAGGTTACTTGAGGAAGAAAATTACGAGGGTTTCTGACGGTGCCATGAACGGTGTAGTTCTTAGAGAGCAGAAACTTCACTAACCAGGATCCTATAAACCCTCCTGCACCTGTTACACACACAACTCTTCCCTTCTCTGCCGCCATTAAAATCCCTCTGTGTGTGTGAGAGAGAGTTTCGTTGACTTGCAGGGGAGTTAACTATGGCCTATGGGTGGTACGTTTAACTTCGGTCCTTGATCTTTCATAAACCGTACTTAACCGTCTAAAGTATTTGATTACAGGGAAATAACCAAAATAGTCATTTCTCTTCCAGATATATCCAAATGTATCTATACAAATTTCACCTCCTTCACTTGCGTGGACTTAGCTAAAAGACAGAAAAATCAGATTCAATCCAGGTTTGCAATTGTAACAGTACCACATGCTAAGAGGGTGCTCATAGGTTGGGTTGAAGACATTTAAATAACCCAACCCAATACTTGCGGTTTGAAAAAATATTAACCCAACCCAACCCAACTCGTACGAATTCGTCGGGTTAGTCTGGTTGGTCGGATTGATACTTTGGTATATTAAAATATTCTTCTAACCTTGAATACGTTATTTCTCTACTCATAATTTCTTTTCATCATTAACCATTTGATACAACTTATTCATATTTCTTACGTATATCACATTCAGTTAATTTTCTCAATTTACATATATATGTTCACAGTTATTGAATGATTTATATAGAAATATGAATAGATTGAAAATATGTGTATATGAAAAGCATATATGATAGTTAATTGTTTAATGTATATATTAATAAAAATTCAACAATCATATTAAATCCAAGAAATAAAAGGATATCGGGTTGGGTTGGGTTCAAAAAATAGTAACCCAATATTAACCCAATACCTACAGTTTGATAATTTTACAACTCGATTAGACAACGGGTCGCTTCGGGTTGGGTTATTTCGCATTGGGTTGGGTTGGGTTGATCGGGTTGGTCGGGTTTTTGAGCACCCCTACCTGCTAACCTAGGTGGAATTTGATTTTTTTTGTCTTTTAACTAGTTCCGTAAGTGGGGAGACGAGACTTATATAGGTAGAACATTTAGGTAAATGAAGGAGATGAATGATCAGGAGACCAATTAATAGGAATGATTATTTTGGCCAATTTCCGTTGATTAAACCATATGATCATTAATTTTACGCAAAAGTTCTAAATGAACTACGACGTGTCCTCACGACAATATCAAGACTCAAGCCTTACATGTTACCCATGAAGACGCCATGGCGTGAAGCCGTGAACCATGCCTTACAAAAAATGCTATATGACTTATTGTAACGGTGGAGACGCGCCTTACATCATGCCATTTTGTTGTGATTCTCATCTTTTAATATATGAATGACTTTTTGCCTGAAGTTTTTGATAATTGTAGCGACCAACAATGGAAAAGAATTATATTCAACGTGTAACGCGATAAAATCTTCAAAAGTATTATCTCCAAAAATCCCCCTTAACGGCAATCGTCGCTCCACTCAAACCTTGGGAGTTTCACCACCTGGGGATCCTGATATACATGTCATTTAAGAAAAAAAGTGTTAGACTTAATGCCTAGTGAAGACAAACAGATTTATAGATAAAGTGGGAATCCTAAAATCAGTAATATGAGATTTAAACCAATGAAGACTTCAAGCCCTTTTCATCAATAGAATAATAAAATCAATAACACATCATACGACGACTGAGGAGACCTGATTCCCATTGATTGTGGCGTGACACAAAAGAAGCCACAAATTTATGATGTAGAACTTCTAATATAGAACATTGGTCATCGAGTTCATCACTCACGGTCTGTAGTTCGAGTCCCCCAATAAACTAGGATATGCTCATTTGCTAGAATTAAATCATTACAGGTCACTCGGTTATCGAGTTCAACCAACCACGATCTATAATTCGAGTCCCCAGGTGATCCAACACCCTTATCTAACTATCATATTTTGGGTCATTACAGGTCACACTGTTGGGCCATTATTTTAATTAAAAAAGCTTGGGCTTCTTTTGTTACTGGACTGGTTAGTACTTAATTAAGTATGGGCTTTTAATAATGCATGAACTTTTATTATTAGCTTGCACTAAAAGTTAAAAACTAAGGAGATGTGGTCATAATGATTAAAAGACTCTCATTATATGGTGTAAAATGAAATATAATTATTTGGTAATTATTCACACCAAAATTAGGGCGCTGAATGGTTAAAGGAGACTCATGATACAAAATCATTTAGAGAGTTTTAGAACCATTAAGAGACAGACTTTTTTTGTCAAACAAGATTCACATCTTAACAATTCAGATGTTGCCTAATGAAACTATTAAAAAGTAAACAAACAACCTCTAAAAACATTTAATTTGTTGGGATTTGAAAATTAGTTCAACAAATGATTCCTACATAGCCCAAATTATTTAGTAATCAAAGTTGCGATCAGTCTAACTTTATGGAGTTAACTTAACTGGTGATAAGACTTGAACTTTTGGAGATACTTCTCATCATTGGTTTGAGTCCTATAAGGCCACTGAAGATTTTCCTTGCTATTATCCATACTTGAATTAATGGAGATGCGTACAAACTGACCCAAATATCCATAGTTAACCAAAAAAAAGTTACATCAATCTATTTAATTATTTTAATGAACGTGAATTGATATTTATTAAGTGAAATATCAATTTAATGTATTTATCAGTTTTAATACAAACTGCTACAAGTTATTAAGATTAAGTAGTGATATTTCCGGCTATGGTAGATGGACTCTGAAGAATAACATATACACTGACTAATAAAAGGGTTATGAAATAAGTACGAAAGTACTAAGGATCAATTGTTTAATAGGGGTTACAAAATGTTGTAGGATAAACTCGATGGTTAACAGAAATACAGGGCTATCAAGTTGAGTTCATGATGTTTTTACAAAAATGCGTTACATGCGAAAAAAGGTGTTCTATATTATTCTTTATTATGTTCATGCAATTTGTGCTATATATCTGTGATATATATGACATTTATGGAACTTAATGAAAAGTTTATGTATGAACATTTTTATTACATGATCTGCATGAAAGGTTCTGTTATTCAAATGTGGAAATGCTTGGGACCTCGGGGTCAAAGTAAAAGGGTGGGAAATTGCGGTGAAAGGGTTTTGATATTGTATGTGATTTGTTCTTGCATCTGAAACATATGGAGTAATTTATAATCATTGGCAAATGCTACAGAACCAACCGAAGATGCAACCTGAAAAAAAAAACTGACTGAAAACCTAATAAAAAGAACCAAAGCACCCCTTCAAATTAGATGCATCTAATACCAAAATCAAGTAGTCTTGTGAATAACCTCCGTATTTCTAGCCTGATTTAGAATTAAGGTGTTTGAAGAAAGCAAAGTTGGATTAGTGATCCATACTTCCCATGGAATAGATGCTTTTCATATTCTTCTTGGGATCAGCTCGCAGACGCGAGCTTGAATTCCTGCAAATAGTGCTTCAGCAGATAGATATTTTTTCATTAATGTTATCGCGATGATCATATAACAGGTAGCTAATGGCCCAAATAGATGCCTACGAAATTCGTGAGTAGCCATGGCAAGAAGGATTCCTCTCCATGAAGTCGAAAGAGTTCTTCTAGCGAGTTTCCTGGACCAACACTGTTCCCTAACTAACTTAGAAACAAGTCCCAAATCGATCTAGTCATCTTGCAGTCGAAAGAGTTCCCTAACTAACTTAGAAACAAGCAAAGAAGTGACCAATTGTGTGACACCCCAAAATGAGGTAAATAAATAAATTAGAAAGCAAAAAGAACAAGGAAAATAAAATAAAATGGGTTTTATTTTATTGGAAAAAAAATATAAATATATTTGAAAATTGGATTAAAAATGAAGGAAAATGTCATATTAAGGGTGAAATGTGTAAATATGTCAAAAGTAATAGAGCCAGGGGGCCGAATGCTATTTTATAATAGTTCAGGGTTGGGTCAGATGTTAACAGGTCCAAACCAGAAGGACCTGTTTTGTAAATATGCACCAGATCTGCAAATTCAGAAACGGGAAAACGACACTTCCTTTGAAGCTCTCTATTAGTCTGAATATTCAACTATTACGAAAAAAAAAAATTCATATACATGTAGACGACATTTTGCTCTACATTTTTGCTTCAAGAAAACCGAACTTTCATTGAGAGTCGAAGGAGAAATCGGATGGTGAAGTTCGGGTTTGAAAAGCTCCGTTTATTGATGATTGGAGGTAAAATACTCAACTAAATTTCGAGTTCTTTATATGGATGGCTTCGTTTTTAGGTCCTCTATGAAACCTTAGTAGCCTTATGTCTCAGATTTTAGTTTTGAGTGTTCGATTTTGAGTTTTTTTACTGATTTTCGAGTGATTTTAAAATCGTAACTTTAAACGAGCGTAGGAGGCTCAATACTTGATGAAAATTTATGTTCTTTATGTCAAAGTGTTGGTAAAAATATTACCAAGGGATTGGTGCAAAAAGAATGAAGAAAAAAAGTCAAGAAACGAGCCATTTTCAAGCTCAAAAACATAAAAATGGTGCAGCCATAACTGCTGTCTTGTTGTTGTTTTCCACCTGGGTTTACCTTTAAAAAAAAAAACGAAATAAGGGCGTTGATGGCAAGTCTCGAACCTGCAACCTCAACTATAAATTATCAAGGCGTTAACCAGTAGCCTAAGCATCCGTTTATTAATAATTGTGCGCTGTATTTATTAGTATGCACAAAGATTTAAATTTCAGAAATCAAATAATTTTCTCCCTAATAACTTTACGAGACTTTTATGAAATTTATTTGTAAAATGCAAACTTTGACCAACTTTCGATTATTTATCTCATTTAGTTACCAAAATGACCCTATAAGTGGGAAATCGGTATTTTAGCAATACTTTACGTATTTGCTTCAATAATTTACCGAAATAACCATATATCTTGGGGATTGGTTTATGAGCTTCATTTTTTATTTATTTATTATTTTTATAAAATTACCAAAACGATCTTATATTTAGAAATCGGTATTTTAGCAATGTTTTACGTATTTGCTTTATAAATTACCGAAATGACCCAATGTCTTGGGATTGGTATCTAAGTTCTATTTTGAATAAAATCCTTACGAAAATTACCAAAATGACCCTACAATATGGAAATCGGTATTTTAGCGATACTTTACGT